TTAGGGAAAAGAAGACGAAGAAGGTTGGTAGAAAATGGAGCGTACCGGAGAATTAGGAAAGGCGGGAAGGAGGTGGTCGTTTGGCTCCGCAATTTCTCCCATTCCGATGTTGTTTCCTGCAGGTGATTCTTCACCTATCCGATTACCATGGAGTGTGTCTTCCATAACTTGTAAAATATGCGGAGCCCTGAAAATCGAGGAACGGCTTAAAGGCGATTCAACAGCCAGCAGTACCGGATCGGTGGGATTCTGACCCAATGCGGAGTTTTTAAGACCGTTCAAATTGGCCAGGACTTTTCAATGAAGCTTTATAGCCTCTTTTCAAGATTGAGAGCTACGGATAAGAAAGGAGCTTCTGCCTCCCTCTCGTGAAAATCCGATCGTGGCAATAACGTTAACGACTGTGACCCTAATTTCGGTCGATAAGAGGCGATAAAATTTAACTGCAAAGGCAAATGGCCAACTCAAAAACGGTTTTCACGAGGATGTGGTGTTATGGGCACAAATCTTTTCCATACGATACTTGTGCCACCTCATGCTTTCCGAGCGACGTCATGCTCTTCGAGAGTGCGCTATACTTTACGCTGCTCAGGCCGCCTATTACCCTCTCAGCTTAACGGCTTCTTATGGTTAGCATGAAAGACATAAAAAGTAGAAGAAACAGCCTTATAGCACTCACACATTTAACATAGTAAATTAAAGTTTTATTTGCTATGAAATAACACCTCAGAGGATAGGCATCCGGGAAGCATATAGTCCCGACGGGTCCCACCATACGCTTTCGGCGCAGTCTACAGGGGGGGGGGGGGGGCAAAAAAAACATTTCGACCGAGTCACATATCAGCAAAGTTTTCGCAGCCCAGACAGAGGACGTGGATACGAGTACCAGGGCGGAAGATACCCAAGATGTCCTCGATAAGCAGGAGCTGGCTCTCGCCCATCACCTTCATGTACACCAAAATATGAGTCATCTCCAGTCGCAGCCTGACTGGAGAAGACTTTGGAATTCATGTCACCTCAACAGCTGCGTGAAAATTCTGGGTGGAATCAACCCATTGGGAGAGCTACCTGGAGACCAGTACTCTCGATCTGGGAGACTTCCATCATCGAGCAGCTCTGACAACGTCGCTACGGTCTAGGACATCATCTCACCTCAGTCGCCAAGGCGCCAGTTGATGGTGGGGGTAGCCTGAAGAGAAGAGATCGATTTTTCTTCGTGCGGTCGCGGACAGAAGCGTGGAGCAGTCAATCGGTTACATCGAGCAACTCGAGAAGAATATCCTCTCCACATGTCGTCGCCCGTACCTTCTTGGAAACTTTGTACTGCTACAGGATTGGGTGACACCACATGGAATCAAAGGGCGTTGGAAACTCTTGCCTACTTGGAATGGAGGCGTAGACCTGGAAGAAGGTGGAATATCACAACGAGGTCATCTAACTAAACCCTCAATTACCTGTTATGGCGCGATGTTCGGACAGAGTGGTCTACAGTGGTGGAGAAATAATTATCTGACCTGAATATTCAGTACCATCGATGGCGTGGCAGAACCAGCTCGATGGCGCTCCCTCCAGGAGGCATGTGGCGGAGTATCATGATAGTGTTCAATATGCTCTTTAATATGGTGGTAGAAATGTCCGATAAGAAGTTCAACAAAGTGTAACTTATAGGGCCTCGAAAGTCAAGGAAGAAAAAAGTCTTTTTTTGCCCCCCCCCTGTAGCTGGTAATGATTCCTTTCGGGAGAAAAATGAATCTTGCAGTTAGTTGAATAAACACGGCTAAAGATTACAGTTTGAGGACATATAAAAAAACAGTCAAAATGCCGTCAAAAGCAGATTATGTGCATTTGAAGCGACTAAGGAGGGGAGGGGGGGCGTTACATCCTTGTTACGGCACCTGCGTTACAAGCGGATTTCCTGCGCATATAATTGCCCTAGGACTAACAGCGGTGCTGTTCTATTGGCGCGAGCCAATGTTAAGCTTGAGGAATGCTCTGTGAAGCGTCGCCTAACCTTAGTTTTTGCGCCACACGCTCTTCGGAGGCGGCAAAAGCATAGCGAGCTGCAGCCGCGGACCATTGGTGCGCAGTTTGCACACCTGCACCTTCATGAAATAGAAATGCTAGCGGCGAATGCGTCATTACGACTTGAAGGCTTGTTGTGCGTTCATTTACTGTTCAAACGCCTTCTATGGTCAAGGTAGTCCGGTTCGCGAGTACAGAAGATGTAGCAATTTGTCAGTTCAAAAAATAAACAAGGAAAGCGCGACCTAAGGAGGTCGCGACCCCGCCCAGCAGCCACAGCAACGCCCAACTTTGATTTTTTAAGGCTATGTTGGTGTTGCGGTGTTCCCGCTATTTTCTTCATTTCGAATGGTGGTGAAGATGATAAGGGGGAAAAGGCCTTATGCACGTACAAGCGCGGTCGACGCTGTTTGTCGACGGGGGGGCATTTTGTACTATCATTGCTTCCTCAGTTCCAGTTTACATGTCTTACACTGGCGAAACCTGTGAACACTTGTGCAGCTGGAACAAGGTAGTCAAGTCATCTTGTTAAAACCTGTCAACTCGAGAAGAGGCTGTCTAGACAGGCCGACACGTCGTTGGGAGGTAGCAAAAGTGCAAAATGCCCCCTCGTCGACAAACAGCGCGGTCTATCATGGGGTTCTATATTGGGTGCTTCGGGTGGGGTTTTTTCTGCTTTTTTTCTTCACTTTTGTTTTATTTACCATTTTGCCACTAGCAAGCCGCTCAACTCCCCGTTTTTAACGTGGGGCACGCCTTTGAGACGCAAAATCCACTGGCTCCCCATTAAGTCCTCATAAAAGCCTCCGCCCCTTTCTTGATTGTCTCACGTATATCTAATAAAAACCCTGCCTTCCGAAAAGGTCCATCGCTTCGATTCGGCACGGAGGCGATTTATCGAGTTCACTCAAAACACGAAAGTGCACGCAATCTGTCTTTTGACGGCAATCGCTCTCACGTCGCGCACAGAGATAGCGCTAAGGCTGTGAACATCCTATCAACACGCTTCCAATAGCAAGCCTGCGCTGATGAGAGTGGCTGCTCATCTATCTATCGCCTCCTATTTCCTTTAGTGGGTTCTTCTTCAACACCCACTTCTCCAAATATTTCAGAGAAGCACCTGTGTTACCACCAACACTGGATCTCCGCGTATATCCACCGTTTGCTGAATTTATTGGTGAGTTCTATAGGTTTACTGGAATTCGTTGCACTGACGCTTAATGGCTATATGCTTAAGAATTCGGCGGCGCTACCAAGCACGTGCTGACGAACGCCGGCTCATCACGAATGGTATTCAAAGTAAAATGCAGCAATAACTCGTTATTTAAGGTGAGTTGAGGAAGTGAACCTAGCCCAAGGGACACCAATGGCGGGACCAGCTTCTTACGACCGTCTTAACCAATTTTATTCCGGAGTATTTTTGGTCGCTAGAGGGAGGAGGGGAGTCGTCTTTACATCCGAGAGACGTTTCAGGTTGCTGGCTTTTTTGGTGTTCCCTGATTATACTTACTCCCCCCCCCCCCCGCTGGAGGCATTTTGTTGGGAAAAACGTGGAGAAATTTCGAGAAAAAAATTCGGGAAAATGGTAGGAATGGTAAGAAACTGGGAAATCTCGAGAACACAGCAGGTAGGATAGGGTTGGGGAGATAGAGGGGAGTGTACTGACAGGGAATTTTGGGAAGGATTGTATCTTGTTTTCCCTCCAATCAGCTGACGCGCCTCTTTTTCGAGATTTTCATTTCTACGAGATACTTCCTTGAAGGCAGTGACACCCGAAATCCCTATAAGGCGGAGTAGGCGTTAAAGCACGCCTACAGGAGGCGAACTGCACCTTCTGACCAGGCGCTGCCCTAGCTCCTTCTAAGGAAAGTCCCCTTATAAGCGCTGCCTGAGCACGCTGTTAAACAGTAGCCACGCTGGAACGTCCCACCGCGCTGCCGCCCGCCACGAATGGGACGACGGCCGCGAAGCCTGGCTGCTCGTCGATGCTTCATTCGTTAATGATGCTATGAAGTACGAGATCGGATATGAGCGCTGTTGGAGACTCTAATGAGCATGCAGCTCGTATCTACCGAAGCGATTATTGGCAAGATGCCACGGAAAAACTTGTACCGAATTGATCATCTTTAGATGTCTTAGAGAACGAAAGACAGTTCTGTGCAGAGTAACGATTGACGAGGATTGCGGCGGTTAATTTTTCGGCCAGGAATATCACAGTATTCAGAACCCCGGATGAACATTATGAGCCGATGTATCAAAATATTGATAATCTCCAATTAAAGAGCAATCTACCTGGCTGAAAAGATTCCTACAAACGGAGATGGGACCCGTAAATAGTTTGTTGCAAGAAGAGAATTCGAGTTATCGAGATCAAAGACATCACCCCAGACAAGCACAAAACCACTCCTAGGGAATTGCCTATATTTTCACGGACTTACCTGCTGGGGAGGGGGTGGGGATAAGAATACTGCCTTGCGTATTGACGGTCTGCTGCAAGCTAATGTGAGGCACAATCGGGCTCATATATCAATTCACATGCGATGTTAAGTAATCGGCTAGAATACTTAGCACATACCAGAAAATATGAAAAGCGCGACTACGCCCCCGGGTCCGCATGTGCCTCTTTCTTGAGTAAGAAGTTTTTGAGCAGGAGGGTTTCTACCAGGCACCTGTGCTTTGAAAATTATCCTCTGTGTAGCCGAAAACGTCAAAAATAATTTTCAACGCATTACCGAGAATACGCTTTATTATAATTGCTGCTGTTTGAGACCGCAGTTAGCGCTCCGAAAGCTATCGAAAGAATGTAGAACTATGGACAAAAGTCATACCTCAAGCGGCCCTCGAACCCACACTTCTTGCTTACTGGGCTAGTGGGCTATCCATTACGCCACCAAGGCCACTCTTACCTTCTCAGCTAAGGATACGATTCAGTTATCCGAAATGTTCACTAAAATGCCCGCCTGTCATTTCCAGTAAATGATAGCGCTGGTTGGTCATTCTCACTCAATCACACCCTTATTGATTTTCTCGAAATGGAAATAAAGTATACCCTCTGTTCAGGTGTCACCCGTCTACGCATTTCTCGATTCCGGTGCTTCAATGGACTTGCAGGTAAATGTCACAGACATACTCCTAGTACTCGTACCGTTACTCGTCGTTACTCGTTATACTCCTAGTTTCGTACGCAGTTTTCACGTTTAACTGTATTCGCTTTCTTATTTTTTATAACTCTTTCTTGAAGAAAGGTAGTGTAAGGGGGGGGAGGGGCAAGGTAGTGTAGGAGAAAGTGGCGCTAACTCGAAGGTCAAATCCCTGACTTCTGCGAAGCCTCAGCATATCTCTCTAAAACCATAATTTCTCACAAAAATGGACTGGGACGGTAGAGACACTGACGTGGACGTTGGCTGGTCTCCGCCTGTCGTTATTGTGCTAAATCTCATTAAAAGCCGCGGTTATGATTATGGGTGGAATGCATTGTGCATCCTGAAAAGGGCTGATCCGCGCTAAAAGCATTTTAGCCTTTTTCACTACCTCTCTTGCCCATAAGACGGCTCTTCCTGACTTATCTATGATGGGCAAGTAAATCTTCATCATTTTCATGAGGGTGGGTCGCATCCCATTCGCCAGAGAGAGGGAAGAGGTCCAACTCCACTGTCTACCCATGCTAAGACACCTCTCGACAAAGCCGGACTTTGTTTAGGGCACGTCGTACGTGGTCCAGCGGAAGGGGTCGTGATTGCTTTGGAGGGAAATGTTCTCGGTGCCAACATCTTTCCGCTTGCGCTCATATCTGCACCCCCCCCGCCCCAACCGCTCAGCTCCAGGGCGGTTTTTGCGGTGAAGAGGAAATTTTCGGAAGAAGGAACTCTAGAAAAGTAGAACCAATGGGAAGGGAGGTCGTGTCTTAGAGGGGTGAGGGGGGAATTTTGAAGAGAATCATGTATTGTAGAAATTTTCTTCAACGTCAGAACCTGCCTTAACTTTTCCATAACAAAATTACCACTCTTTCCGGAATTTGCAGCATCTCTGCACTGCCTGCATACATTCAGAATCCGGTGTAAATATGAAAGGCATGGGCAGTTTTCAGGCAGCAGTTGAAATATTGACGTCGATGCATCAGTATAATCGCTGGGTTGGCACCGATGGGAATCGCATTGACGTCGACATTCTGACTCTGACATCTCTTGATAGAGTGAAATATGACAAGCAAAAAACTAGCCTTTCCCCCAAAAACTCAACCTTCGCTGCTTTCGGAGTGTCTTGAGCTCTTAATGTCACAAATATAAGGGGGAACAGTGTGAAATGTCCTTCAGGAGCCATGGTAGTGTGGTGAAAGTGACGCGCTACGCGTAATCCGATTGTCAAATCCTGGATCAGCTACCGCCCAAGGAAACCAACTCCTCTATCCTCCCGGGACAGTAACACGGTACCTGAATCGTGTGGGAGTATAGGAACATTATACATTGGCTGGTCCCTGCAAGTCTTGTGTAGAGCACATCGCATATAATATGCCACTGTGGTTCTGAATGGAAGTAGAATGCCTGCTGCATCTCAAGAAAGGGTAAAAGGGGTAAATCAGCGGCGAGGACACATCCTTCAAACCTCGGGGAGGGAGGGAGTAAATTTGCAAACGTTTGGGCAATCATTTCAGCATACAAACTTTGTTAAGCCGTATTACCACTGCACAAGCAGGGCACATCATTGGTTGGGGATTTTGGTCGAGTTCGTACGACCCCCTCCCTTTTTTTAGGAACGACCCCCCCACTCTTTACCGTTTGTTGGATTTTCCCCAACTTCCTACCACTTTTCCGAAATTTCCCCTGAACTTCCCTGATTTTACCCAAGAATTTTGCTGTCGAGCGGGGATGGGGGCGGGGTATATATAGTACACTTGCAACAGGAAAAACCACGAATACCCAGCAACCCCTCTCACAGAAGGTCAGAAGAGGGACACGATCCCCTCCAACAACGAGCAAACACGACCCTCGCCCCTTTACAACGTCCCTGCCCTGGAACAAGAAACATCGACTGTG